CTTAATTAAATCTGCATCAGCCATACCTCTGTTGTTGTTGTTGCTGGCTCAGCCCACCCTGGGGGCAGAGCTGGTGTGGCATGTGGTGCCAGGGATCTAACCGCAGTCCCTGAGTATTTGTCTAAGCTTGCCTAAGCAGGCGCTTTAGACCACTGAGCTATCTCTCTGGCCCAACCATAAGTATTTCTAAGTGAGATCACAATATGAGGTTCTGAGAAAAAAATTGAATTTGAAAAAGTACTATTCAATGAAGTATTCATGTTTCAAGTTAGCAAAACATTGTTACTAAGTGTCTGTCATCTTGTTTTTCAAGAATATTTTGATTTGGTTGGACTCTCTTACTCCTGCTATGCCATATATTCAATCTCTCTCTACATATATATATACATATTACACATGTATTACATATATATGTATATATACCATATGTATACATTATATACTTGGAGCACATGGTCTAATAGCTTAACCACATGAACAATCAGGGATTCCCCAATGAGATACCACTACATCGCTACCAGATTGACAATAATATTAGAATATAATGAAAAATCAACCATGGTGAGGATGTAGAGTGACAGGAATTGTCACATGCTTATGGTGATGATGTAAACTGGAATCATTATTTTGGGATAAAGTTTGGCAGTACTGAGTAAAGCCGAAGATATACATTCTCTACTGCCCTCCTTATTTATATACCTGATAGAAACAGCGTATACCAGCCTGCATCGGGATGCATGTACAAGAACGAGAAACCTTGTTGACAATAGATCCAGACTGGTAACCACTTAAATGTCCATAAAAAACCAAATAAGTTATGGATAGAATATGATGAAATACTACGTAGCAATAAACCAGAATGAACTCTAGCCACACACAATATGAATGAGTCTTAAAAAGCATAATAATGAGCAAAAGAAGCCGAAAACAAAAGAATATAGACATTTGATGCCATTTATATGAATTTCAAAACCAGGTAAAATGAAACCATGTGGTTTAAGGAAGTATAACCCAGAAATACTAGTTATTTATTTAATGTTTTTGTAGTGCTGGGGTTGAGCCTTAGGGCTCCCCACATAGTAGGCAAGCATGTGAAAGCGCAGTAGTAGCAATGAATTATATTCCCACTCCCAGATAATAATACAATGAAAGGTAAGAAATTTTTTTAAAAACTTTGTTTATTTATTTATTTATTTTTTATTTATGCATGTGTGTGTGTGTGGCCAGCTCAGCCCACCAGGGGGCGGGGCTGGCTGGCATGTGGTGCTAGGGGATCGAACCACGGTCCCTGTGCTTTGCCAAGCTTGTTCCAAGTAGATGCTTTAGACCACTGAGCCATCTCTCCAGCCCAAAAGGTAAGAAATTAAGAGCATAAAAGTCATTATGTGGGGGGCTGGGGAGATGGCTCAGTGGAATAAGCACTTCCCTGGCAAGCACAAGGGGCTGAGTTCAATCCCCGGTTCCGCCAAAAAAAAAAAAAAAAAAAAAAAGTCATTATGTGCAGGAAGGGTGCATGTACGATCCGGCAAAGGACACATGGGGAAGGAGCTCCTGGGGCGCTATAATGTGTATTTCACCACCATTCATGAAGTTGTGTCTGTGTTTTCACCACTTTTCTGTATGCTTATTATATTTCTCCTATACGGGTGCATACCCCAATGTTGGAATCAAAGCAAATACAGCCATGTTGCAACCGTTTGACTCTGGGCATATTTTGAAGGGACAAAATGACTTAAGATCCCTTATGAAACAAAAAGTGTGAATCTCTCTTTAAGAAATAAATTAGATTTTAATTGAAGGGAAACTATGAAAAAATGGTTGGCACCTAAAAGACCTTTATTTATGCAGGTGCTGTGCTATAAAATAGCCTAATCCGCCTTGTTAATGAAGCTGACTTTACAACCTAGTAAACTAAACAAAGGCCTTATGTTTAGTTGATGAACAAGTTGAGGCCAAAATCTAGTCTATTTATGTGGCAGTTTTTGCTTTTTTATTTCTTTCAATCTAGCGTGAAAAAAGATACTGGCTCCCTTGCTGTGAGAGGTTTTTTTAATTGCCAGTCTGGCTTGACCCATTTGAAATGCAAACTTATCCTTGTGAAACTTGTCTCTGGACAATTGAAAGAGGTAGTAATGATAATAGTATGATTTATACAGAGTTCCAATTAAGGTCTAAACATTATTTTAGGCAGTTTTTAGTTATTAAAATATTTTGATGTCACTTTAAACTTTGGATAAGCCACTATCAGCTTTTGAGAAAAATTATTTTTTTTTTTAACACAGATATTATAGGTTCCTATTGTATCTTTCTTGCCCCTGACGTCTCTGTCATTCTTCCAAAGAGTACTAGTCTGTTTGGTAGAGAATATTTAGAAGCCAAAATCTAAATCTAGGTTTACTTATTACTACTGTGTGTCACTGCTCTTAGGTCCTATTTATAGAATTGAGAAATATGTACATACATTCACACATATATACATGAATAAATTGATGTATCTATCTATCTATCTATCTATCTATCTATATTTTTTTTTCTTGAGACAGCATTTCCTTGTATAATCTAAATCATCCTTAAGCTTTCTGTGTAGCTCAGCTGGGCATCTAATTTGAAATCCTCCTGCCTCAGCTTCCCAAGTATTGAGATTAGATGCCTGGGCTGCTATACCTGACTTATATTTTTATATTTATCTCTATTATGACACTACTATGAAGTTATACTAATAAAGTCAATTCCAATTGGAAAATACAGTATTCAAACTTTTCTCCTTCCTGTTTGTAATTCCAGCATTGAGAAATTTATTTTGAATCACTTTAAATGTAACTTATTTATAGGGCTGGCTAGGTAGCTCAGCAGATTAAAGTGCCTGCTTAGGCAGATGCAATAGGGAGGGGGGAGGGCGGTCCCAGGCCTGCTGTGGCTGAGGTACGCTGAGACAGCAATTGAGATTGGGCATGGTGGCGCACGCCTGTAATCTCAGCGCTTGGGAGGCTGAGAAACAGGAAGAATCACTGAGTCTGATCTGTGTAGTGAGACCCTTGTAGACCCTGTATTAAATAAATAAATAAATAACAAATAGTAAATAAAATGTAGCTAATTTATAATGAATATATTGCTTTAAAAAAAAATCTTCCCATTTGTACTGTTTTGTTCCCTAAGGACTCTAAAATCCCTAGAGTTTTCATTCTTTTTCCCCATCCAATCAAAAAAATATTCAGGGATGGGGAAAAAAAAATTCATCAAGCAAGTACTATGTGCCAGATGATGTTCTAGGGCCGCGAATAGAGTAGTGAACAAACATTGTACTTGGAGAGGAACAGTGGAGACAAGAAAGGATGCAAAGCTTGGAAATGGCAAAGCTGGGATCTGAACCCAGACAGCCCGGCTCCAGAGCTCAGGCTACGCTACCTGCCTCTTACAAAAGTTTACAACTCTCTTGAATCCAATAAAAGTGCTTCTGCCCGTTTCTAAATCTACACAATGAGAAGCTTTGTGTATCTTCCACACTACTTCGCTTCTCTGAGACTCGGTTTCCCAATCTGTAAAACTAGAGATGCAAATCTTAACCTGTTGTGAGGATGCATGAAATAAAGCAAGGTGCCTGGTGCTATTTGGTATGCATTAAAGGAGCCCAACGGAGTCAGTTTGTCTTTTTCTCTTTCATTTTTAAATTTTTTTTGTCGGAACTGGGGATTGAACTCAGGCCCTCGCGCTTGCCAGGGAAGCGCTTATTCCACTGAGCCATTGCCCTGGCCCCTCTTTTTCTCTTTCAACACAAATGCTACGCTATGCAGTTTCCCCAGAACAAGATTTTTCTTTTTTCTAATTGATTTAATCATTCACTTATGCATTCAGTCATTTTTACATCCATTCAGTACAGTTCAATATGGAAGATCGTCCTCCCAAGGTATTGAGTGGAGCTAGCAGTGTGCAGATTAAGAAAGGGCAGTTCAGGTCCATAAGGAACTTCTAGATTTACTGGTTAATAATCTATATAACAGTGTGTTTCAAAACCAGGTAGAGAACACTCGGGGGTGGGTAAGCTTGTGAGATAATGCGGGTAGGAGCAGCTCTAAGATCTGTCAGAGTAGGCTTCTTAAAAGAGCACACCACTGAAGCCTAGCTATGTGTTGCCCATGGATCGGAATCATCGACAGTTCAAGGGAGGAATAAGATGGTCAAATTTATATGCGTTGACAGGGTGAAGGATGGGGAAGATTTAAATCAATGACGCTGGAAAGGAAACCGCGTATGTGAACTAGGAGATTTGAGGTAGAGCTGTTTGTGATCGGGAGATACAGTTTGGCAACGGTTGCCAAAGATTCGGGACACTGCACAGAATAAAGCGTGGATTGAAGGAACCCGGAGAACCAACACTCTTTAAGAGGTGACAGAAACGATTAATTAATTAACTAATTAATTAATTAAAAAGCCCTTGCTAAAACCAAGGGAAGAATCAGAAGAGAATTAGGGAAGGGTGATGTCACAGGAGTTGAGATGAACAGGACAACCAACATGAGAGATAACTGCGTAAGCCGCTGTGTAAAGGTCACAAAAACCACTTGATTTGGCAAGGGCAGTTTCTGTGTTAAGTGTTAGAGCAGGAACTCCATTGTAATAAATGAATGAGCGAATGAATGGGCAGAAATGGTGCTTTCTTTTTTCCCTGGAGTTGGTGCAGAAGAACGGCCTTCTGGACTGGATCTGGATGCCACCTAAGAAACGGCCAGACTCGACACCCTTCAGCACAGCAGCAAGGTCGAGGTCACCTCGGGCCTCCAGGCAACCTGTCACCTTGACTACTGACAGAAAGGAAAAAAAAAAAAAAAAAAAAA